CTTCCTCCTCCTTCTCCTTCTACTCCTCCTCCTCCTCCTCCTCCTCCTCCTTCTCCTCCTCCTCTTGAACTCTTTGAATATTACTGATTTCCTGACTACCTGGCGGAAATTATTACGAATTGTTGTGATTGTGTAACAACTACATTGATCTGATTCATATAATAATAATAATAAGAGCATTTGTATCCCGCCTTTTCCTACAGCATGGGCCCAAGGCGTACATGGGAGATTAAAATAGCATTCATCATACTAACACCATACAAATTCATCATGTGCACACTTTTTGACAGCAACTTTCTTTCAGACAATAAAAAATGCTCATACATTTTTGGAAAAGATTACTTCGAACCCGCCTACTATGGCCAACTTGAGCTGATCGCAGTACAATAATAATAATATATGTCAATTCACAAATAGGGACAATCAAAAGAAAATTACCTCACCACACAGGAGTCACAGATAGAGGTATTCTAAACAAAACTTCTTCATTCAGGAATTACAGACGGAGGTATTTGAAAGACAATAACTTTCTCATGTAGGAATTAGGATGAAACGTTCGGTGTACAGTGGCACGGAGCCTCCTAACAACCATTACATTACAACTGTCGGCGACTATTTGGCTATTCGACTGTGAAAGGTAAAAACATCTTCAAAAACGATGTAATTTTTACCCAATGCGTAAAAATTGTGAAATAGTATAGGTTTAACGCCCCTATCAACACTGTTTGGTTACTTAAGATGCGGGGCCTCCGAGTTTAACGTCCATCTCCGAAAGGTCCGAGCCAAATGGGAAATTCGTGTAAAGGGTATTTCCCAAGGACACAACGTCGGACCAAGCTGAGACTCGAACCCCCGAACCCGCAATCTCACGATTACGAGTCCGGTAGCCTAACCACTAGGCTACCGACGCCACCTCCATTTACGCGATTGGAAAAAGAAGAAAACATCTTCAAAAGCGATGTAATATTTACCCAATGTATACTCCATATACGCCCAATTCACTGACGACATCTGACAAAGCAAAAGGGACTCCAGGCTTGACAAGATAGTTCTTCTGTTGCCATGAGGATATTTTCTCCATCAGAATGTACGCACTCCGCTCTTTGGAGCGATTGTGCTCCGTGAAGAAATTGGTGATGTCATCATTGTACAAGTTGTTACCTGAGGATAAACATAGTGATGCACAACCAGTTGCAGCATAAATACAAAATCTACCTTGTTTTTCTCAGTAACAGTTGTAATTGTTTTAAAACCCTCATTGATTTACCGCCGTAAAGGTATGCTGGGTGATACGTACAAGCACATCTTTGAGCCATATGAGGTACATTAGGTGGCTTTTTCTATATTCATTAAAATTACTCCGACTAAATTTTGAAAAGATTCTCAATATCTATCAGATACAGGAGACACAATAGACGGATAATCAAAGAACTGCTAACCTCCACCTTCACGTTGGGGTTTCAAGACAAATTTCTCTGGAGACTGCAGGGCGAGCTTCACGGCAGCATCCCCTTCTTGGTTCTGAAAACACAATCCAGATAAAATCTATCTCAATAAAGTCGATTACTGAAGTACTTGGTTGGACAATGGGTATCATGGCAGGTGGTACAATGCCATGGCTGCTTCCCCCTCTCCCAAGTTTACACGAAAGGGTTGGCTAAAAGCATCTTGTTTGGGTTCTCACATGTTTGTTGATAGAATTCCCTTGTTTCATTACTTTGTATTTTCGGCCAGAAAAAAATGATATACCGAGTCCGCAAAATGTTTGCTGCGATAGTGTATTTCTTAGTACCTTATAAAGGCTACTATCATTAGGTGGACCGATTGCACACCTAACCATGTTGTAGTTCGTTTATGTTGTATTGTGATGAAATCAGTCGGTCTTCAAAAGAGAAAAATCGAAGAAGTAGGCATTTGTTCGACGATTTGGCAACTGTTATCTATTTTTTTCGTTCTAGCTCAGCATCTTTAACGTACATTTAAAAATACATTTCTGTGTAGGTTTTACTGAAGGTCGTTGATTAAAGCACGAAAAAATGAAAATTTTAACGTTCAGTGGACTCACAAGCTATGGAAGTCACTATACGTTGGCAGCCATTTTCTTCCATACAAATTGAAACGAATAAAGCTTGTTGTAAAGCAATGATATGCGCTATACAAATGCTACCTATTATTACCATTATTATAAACAAATACACAACAAACAGATTATGCCATATTTCATTAGCATTATTATAAAGCAGTATACGCTAGATAAATGCTGTTTATTATAATCATGGTTAAAAATAGATAATGCGTTATACAAATGGTATTCAAAATTATTATAATACATGTAATAAACAAATACACGCTGTACAAATGCTATATTTGTTATTATCATTATTAAAAACAAGTCTAAAAATAGAATGGCAAATGAAAAATGTACCAGATCCAGACTGTACTGGTCAGCAAAGGTGTCCCTCAGTGTGTTGACCACCTGTGGGTCAGAGACAAAACGTTCCAGAGCCCCGGGCCGAGTCAGCTCTTGTTGGATTTTCTTGGCCCCGGCCAGCTGAAGTTGTACAGAGGGACATTTGATGGCACGAGACAGTTCACACTTCAGCCGGGCGTCCCATTCCTGGGAAAGACAAAAAAGGAACATTATGTTAACAAAGGACGACAATCAGAATGATGCTAAATGATTAATAAAGAGAACAAAATTCCAGGGGAAGGGGAATTTGATTATAGTAGCGCAGGCTGACAGGCTACCGACTCCATCTTCTCAAGAAGAGTTCACAGAAAAGCAACAAAATAACTTTAATAACTTTTGACCAAAATGGATAGTTGACCCCACAAATTATTGTTAATCATAGAGACAACATAAACTTGAAACATGTGCGGATCTTGAATGTGCATAGAAAGGATTGTGAGATGTAAAAACGGGGAAAAGTGATATGTAAGAACACAACATGAAATGGAGATGCATGTGTAAGAGTTCTATATCCTTTGCTCTCGGGCCACTTGAAGCAGCCAGCTCTAAAAGAAAGAGCTAAAACAGCATAACCTGAAGGTTTCTATGAAAAATTCAGGAATAAAAACGTAATATTTATTAGCAGAATAAGATCCTGACTGACCTTTTGAGAAGTGTGGCTTTCTGCTGTGTATCCATCCCTCAAGTAGATCAGTGCTACTTCATCTCCATCTCTGGTAGACAAGATAAGAATAAAAGAAAATATTACAGTGAACAGTTGTTTCGAATAAACCCAGTAAAAACGTTTTTACCACATTCAACAATCTGACAAAAGAATGCATGGCCTGTGTACGTATACCAAACAGTAAGATTAAAGTAGCACTCAAGACTGAATCATCCCATAAGTTTGCTGAAAGCAAACATATTTGAAACGGAAAAGTAATACTGATTCTGAAAGGGGTATCTAGGGGCTTTGAACTCTTGGGTTTTTCATATAGGAAGAAATAGAATTAAATGATATTCAACTTTTAAAAGATATTAGATGAATATTCCAACAACAAAACATTTATCAACAGTACAAATAATTTCTTTCTGCCCAGCTAGTCGTTACTAAAAAGCAACTGATATAAAATATAAAGCAGTTAAAATGTAAACAAAAACTGTTACATAATTTCTACCCACAAAATGAGTCTGGTCTCGTCATCCAAAAGGCCGTGGTCATAAATGTCTAAGAACGATTTGCGTAGAATCCGGATATTCGGGTTCCGGTCGTAAACTTTGAATTCCAGCCATCTCTGATCAATGACATTTCGCTCCGAGGTACCCACTACGAATATGATCACAGCTCTGTGGAGTAACAACAGTCTCAAAAATTGTTTTTCAACTAACAATGGGCGTTGAAATGGTGAAAAGGTTCAACGCCCTTATGAACATTATTAGGTTACTTAAGAGGCGGGACTCCAAGTTTAACGTCCATCTCCGAAAGGACCGAACCAAATGGGAAATTCGTGTAAAAAGCCTTTCAAAAGGACACAACGTCGGACCGAGCTGAGGCCGGAACCCCCGAATCCGCAATCTCACGATAACGAGTCCGGTAGACTAACCACTAAGTCACCGACGCCACTTAACTACCTGTATTACCTGTCCTGGGCAACAGCATCATTGCACACCGGACAGGTCGATAAGTGCACAGTTCCCCCAGCACCAAAGCTCGCAAGGTATCCATACTGATTGTTCCGGTGGCTGTCTGATTATGGCGACATCTTTCCTTTCCAGATAATCGTTCCTTTCTTCCTTCTTCCCCCTCTATCCCCATTTCCACATCCTAAAGAATGCGTGGTGTTCTGCTGTCTCCCTGTCTTCTTCATCCTGCAACTTTTTCTCCAGGGTCTTCAACACTTCTCCTTTGTCAAATTTCACCTCACCATCAACCACGGCACTGCCTGCCAGCCTATCAGCCTCCTCATTGCCTTTCACTCCAGAGTGCCGAGGACAGAATATCCACGTGATGGCTAACTATGGGTGGAATAATTTAACATGTCAACCAGAACAAATGAAGACAAAACAGAGTTTAAAAATCACACAAAACATATAACTTCGGGTAATTTGATTGCTAGTGTTGTCAACCAGAGCGAATAAATAATGAAACCGTATTTATTCAAAGCAAAGACGGTAAGAACTCAATCAGATATCTAATCTACCCATTATCAAAGTACGTTTTCATTTATATTCTTTAACTCAAAAAAGATTTGGATAAATAGAGAGAGATTAATTTTTGCAATTGTCTTTCTAAAAATTGACTCACAGAGAAGATCCAAACGACTTTTAAAATCACATTGACACATTTTCCCACTCAGAATTCAAACAAAGAAATAGTAGCCTAGTGAAAAAAAATCAACACAGAACAAATCGTAATCTGTACCTTGACAAAAGTTCTAAATTTTCAGTGTGTTACAAAACTATAGGCTTGAGAAAGTTCAACGTCTCACTCTCTACCTGATCCAAATATATACTGAATCACAAGCTGAACTATGAGTTTTGCAAGCATCAAATGTCTCGCTCTCTATGAGAGTTCAAAATGCTTTCTAAATAACTAAACTGTGGACTTGAAAGCATCAATGTCTCACTCTGTATGTGGCTTTAAAATGCTGTCTTTTTTTGGTAAGTTTTTACGGCGTTCGCAACTGCATAAGGTCATATGAGCGCGCGGGACACACCTAATATTTTCAGTTGGTAGGAAATTTTGAATTTTGCCCGGGTGGCGGCCGAAGCCTACTCTTATCGATTTTAGACCACCACGGGATCTTTAACGTGCGCAACTTGCACACGGGCCCTCCGAGATTTTTCGCCCTTGTCCGAGAAGGCTAGGTGTAGATCTTTCCTACCTGAAGATCAGGGGTGTGGCAGAAAGGCAGCAGTTAGGAGGAGCCAAGGAGTAGAAGTAGAAAGGCTGCAGAAAGAGTCAGGAGCCCAGAAGAGGGGGCAAAGGAGGTGAGGGGGTGGGGGCAGAAAGTGGAAACGAAAGCAGACAACAGAACATTGCTAGAGAGCAGGAAAGTGGGTGAAAGGAGACAATTTTAGAGAAGAAAATTTTTCGGTCGCTACCCGGATTCGAACCCGGGACCTTTGAATGAGAGGCCAACACCTTAACCTCTAGGCCACGAGAGCTCCCAAATGCTGTCTAAACTGCTAAACTAAGGTCATGAAAGCATCCATGTCTCACTCCCTACCGGTTCAAAACGCTAACTAGATTACCAAAACGTTCGGCTTACAGGCATCAAGTGTGTCACTGTCCAATAGTTCAAAACGCGTATTAGATTACCAAGCCAGAGGATAGTAGACATCAAATATGTCACTCTGTACCTGGGATTTCCGTAGAGTTCCCACGCTTTAACCAAGCCGTCGGCAAGTCCCACAGCAGGTTTGTTGTCAGGAAGCTGCAGTGAAAAACAGTGTATAGTATGGTTAAGTTTGTACTAGAGTTAATTTGACATAACAATCACTGGAAAAAGTCACAGAACAATTTCATTCTCAACAGGCCCACAAATCTCCCTCCGCATTCAGGTTACAGTGAGCCGATGTTTGTGCATATATTCTGAAATGCCCTTTCTTCTCATCCCCATCTTATTTAAGCCGAGGTACTTGAAATGGGTCTTTTTTCTTTTTAGACACCGAGTACATTCATATTTTCCAGAACATCCTTCAGAATATAAAATTCACCAGTAGCGGAAACCCCGTATTAAAAAATAGAATAGAACATTTATGAAATAATTGTACAAAAATATAAAGGACTAACCTGTTCCGGTTTAAAGTCTTTCCCTGCCATTCCGAGAGATAGTCTGTAAAAAATGATAAAACTCTTAATGTAAAATACTATTTTTCTACTTTTTCAGAATGAATGCAAAACCGTTTAAACCGTACTGACTTTTCAAACTTTCCACATTTTTACACACCTTTGAAAAGTGAATTAATAGCCCTTTGAGAGCAGGGCATACATTAATTAAAAATCCTCTCAGTACATGCTGTTAATCTGAAGTATTTTGAAAAAAAAACCCCTAAAAAACGAACAATGTTACACAACTGAATTAAGGTCATGAGAGCTGTACTGTTGCACAATAAAATGCGACGCGATCAGTCCTCTCAAAATCATTCTCGATTTTAAATGATAATTATTATAAACTCGCCCAAAAAGTCAAGGAACAGCTTGTGTTTTCACCTGTCAAATCCAAACTTTAATATCTCACAAACCCGTTACGACCAGTCAACCAAACTTGGCACACACACTGACGACTAGATACAGTTTGCCTGTACGGCAAATTTACCAGCACCAGCTTCATAGCGACGGCGCAGGGCATTATGAAACACAGCCGAAAAGCATGAAAAATGGGCTAAATTTCTCTGACTCAACAACATTGGCATAGGGACTGCTAGCTAAAATAAGCTTGGCACGTGCTAAACAGATGTCTTAGCTGTGGATATTGTTCACTTACAACCCTTTATAAGCCAGCGTTTTTCAGCCATCTTTCATTACAACAACGCTCGTTGCCTGACGTCGACGAAGGATGAGCCCTTACCCCGCTCCAAGATGACTCCACGTTCCCAGTTGATGCACATCGACTTGGGTGTCCCCATCAGTCATATAGAGGCTGTAAGAACGTTGGTGAGCGACTGGAAGGGTCCAGGACAAGCCTCGACCAGGACCGCTCCGTTTGACCAACAACAGCATCGACCGGTTCATCGTTAAACAAGCCGTGACGTCACAAACCACCACTGCAAACGGCACCAGGGACCAACTACGGGTGACAGACAATGTCTACGAGAACGAGGAGACGGTAAGGAACCGTATCCGTAGAGCCAGGTTCGCTACTCATGTCCCTGCCAGGCGCCCAAGGCACACGCCGCCCCACAAAGCAGCTTGCCGGGCTTGTTCTGCTCGCCATTCGCAGTGACACAATATCAGTGGGACTAAGTAGTCTTCTCGGACGAATCCAGATTCAGCCTGCTGCACCCAGATAGGGGATCCCACGTCTGGAGGCGCCGAGGAGAGCTGTTCCACCATGAGTGCACCCAGCAGGTGGCGCCCTACGGTGGAGGGTCCGTTCTGGTGTAGGGAGGCTTCTCAGCTCACCAAAGGACCTCCTGTACCATATACAGGGCAATTTGACGGCGACAAGGTACAGGAAGGAAATCCTGCGTTCCCGTGCTGTTCCTTACCTGCAGCAGATTGGACCCCAGGTTGTACTGCAGGATGACAACGCCACGCCACATCGCACACACATCGTGGGGGAATTCCTGCAGCAGATTGGACCCCAGGTTGTACTGCAGGATGACAACGCCACGCCACATCGCGCACACATCGTGGGGGAATTCCTGCAGCAGCGAGCTGTCACCTGCATGGACTGACCAGCTTGTAATCCGGATTTGAACCCAATAGAGAATATTTGGGATCACATTGACCGGTGAATAAGGGACAACCACCCTCCTGCACAACACCTTCAACAACTCTTGGGCTACCTAGTCCAGGAGTGCAGAACCTATGCCAACAAGTTCTCCGAAGGCATGTCCTGTCCATGCTTCGACGCTGTGCCGAGTGTTTGATCAAACAGAGTGGCTACATCCACTATTGACAATGTTCATGTAGAACTATGGCTGTTCAGATTTTGAAATCCGTCCAGTGTGACTTAACCTCATTTTACATGAACTTCTCGTTGTTGTTGAAATCTCAAATTGTACACACTTAATCTAGAGTCGAATACATCTTTTGTGAAAAAATGAATAAATTCGATTAAACTGTTCTTCAGTTATCTTTCATTGAATTTTTGTTCCTTGACTTTTTTGTGCGAGTTTATTATTGTGATAGTCATGACACTGATGATCTCAATCAAACGCCCTTCTGGGGGTATAGCAATACGGCATTTCACTATTGCACGTATAGAAAATATGATTTTTTCTCTCCTTTTTTTATCCCTTGCCTATTTATATGAGAATGACGCCATCTGATTGTTAGAAAAAAGTGCATATGATTATGCCCAATAGTGCATTACGTGCATTCTTATTATGACAAGTATCGGTTACAGATAGAGATTCAAGGATTGCACAAGTTAATGATCTGAGAGCAATGGTGATTTTAGAAATAATGGTGGTAATGAGTGATGATGTGGGATTGCGTTTAAGTAATGTTAGCATTAGTCCTAGGGTCCTCTGCTCCAACATGAGCTAAATTCCTTTCTGGATAAGTTTGTTTGTTGTTTTTTTTTTAATAGAGTATATCTGTCTGTCTGCTGGGACATTATTTCCTTCTCAGCTCCAGTTGGCCTTTACAGGCAGGGTCAAATCAGAACACCATCTAAATAACGTTAAAAGTGTTAATACTGGATTAAAACATCTGCACTTACAATCATTAACCTGAATCATGACCATTTTGTGTGTCAAATTTCTACATACAGCACATACACTTTCAAATAACTAAGAACAGTAAGGGTCTCTTTCCTTCATCAATACAATAATTACATTATCACCGATTTTCTAAATCAAATTTCAAATGTCATACCTAAACTATTGTGTGCAGATACTTAACATCAATTAATGATTTTCTACTTGGTACATAATTATATGAATTTGCAAAGGTTAAATTATTATGGGAGTATGTCTGTGTTCTTGTGTATGAGGAAAGGGAGAGGGACACAGAGAGAGAGAGAGAGAGAGAGAGAGAGAGAGAGAGAGAGAGAGAGAGAGAGAGAGAGAGAGCAATTAAACATCAAGATCTGTCTGCAGCTGCATACAACGGTAGTAGAGTCCGAATAACGGTTTTATACTACGATACTATTAATTCACCTCACCTGTGCAAATCTGTAATCTGGCTCGCGATTCCCCCACCACTTGTAGCGATGGTATTGAACTCAATCTGCTTGAGCACTAACCGGTCTGCGCTGACAATCTGACCAGGAGATACGCTATCATCTAAACAGTTCAGCATGAAGTCATTTCGGAACAAGCCGAGATGAAGCGGCTGAGAACAGATTTTAGATTAGAAAACATGAAAACCTTATATAGAAACTTGTTGGAGCAAAAGCTTCCACCCCCCCCCCCCCCCCCCCCATCCCGAATAAAAAAGAACAACGATACCAAATAAAAGTAGAAACAAAACAAACGAATAAACAATCAAATAGATTTTTTTTTTTTACACTCTTCTACAAAATGTAGATGAAAGCAAACAAACAACTCAAACAGCTAAACAACTGGCACAACTGGCACAACTGGCACAACTGGCACAACTGGCACAACTGGCACAACTGGCACAACTGGCACAACTGGCACAACTGGCACAACTGGCACAACTTGCACAGCTGGCACAACTGGCACAACTGGCACAACTGGCACAACTGGCACAACTGGCACAACTGGCACAACTGGCACAACTGGCACAACTGGCACAACTGGCACAACTAGAAAGTGAAACAAACTTTTAAAGTTCAGAAACAGACAGCGAATGAAATCTTATATTACTACCCACATCATGCTAAAGTGTGGACCCACAGATTATATAACAAAAATAAATTATACACACTCGCCACCATCCCTTTCAAAATTGAAAAAAAAATGTAATTGTAAAAGTTTTAATGACTCCCCATCAACATTATTTAAATCGTTTGAGAGATGGGCTGCATGAGATCTGTCTGCCAGGGCCAATCCCAGCTGAAAGGGTCACGACGTCCCACCAGATAATCGATAAAAATTATTATTATCGACACACTGAAATCAGACTTATTTCTTTTGCATGAAACATTGAAGCTCCTTATAAATCCAACACAGGCACCGGTTTTTTTTTCAGAAATAGATAATGTATCTAGAGGTACCGCCACATAATTATAAATATAACAGTGTTAATTACATGTATTTACCGTTATACGCCACTTTAAACCTAATTCCCCCCTGCAGATCAATAAAAGTAAAATAATTCACTTAATCGATATTCTTATTTTACCTGCTTGATCCCCGACTCCCTGACTTTACAGTAGACGTTCCATAAGCTCAGCATGAAAGGGTCTACTTGAATCACACTGTTGACACGAGGAAAATAACCACAATATTAATATATGGGCAAGCCATCCCTCTCCACCCCAACCCCTGCATTGTCATTGTTCTCGTAATTAAAAAGTTGTCCACTAGCATGAATATAGAGTTGGGAAGGCATAATACAACGGAGTTGGTACGAGTGAAAAATAAGGACTTTTGGAGTAGACAATGGACAGGACTGGTGGAACTGTCCTTCTGTTGCACATATCTTGGGTTTTCAAACCTTTCAGTTCGATGTAGAAAGATCAATTAATAATTTGAATGAAATCCAGTATAGCATTTCTGGCACCTTTTCATGCTCCTATATACAGGAACAGAATCCTTTCAAATAATTAAATAAAAATCTCAAAACATCCATGGATAAATGTAATGAATATACGTTTTCTAATGATACAGAAAACGTCTAAAAGGGTCATTTGAACAAATCAAAACACAATAAGCTATACCACAGCACTACTTACTTTTTCAAAGACTGTTCTAAAAACTCATGGTCCATAGAGACTTTGTGCATGAGCCGGTTGAAGTGAGTCATGGTAGACTTCGCGTGCTCTAAGATAGGAGCCGGAACAACGCTGGGAAACAGAGAGTAGGGAGCTGGGAGGACTTTTTCTGCTTCAACTCCATTTGCGCCAGATTTTATACTGGTCCCTGAAGAAAGCAAAATTAAATTCAATAATATCTGTTTTGTGGCTTGAGATAAATAGATAAATGCAAGAAATGAGGGCTTCATAGGTTCAGACGGTCAACTTACTCTTAGTTACAAGTTCTTAACAATTTCTTTCTAAAGAGTAAGAAGAAGTACATATTGACCCCAAGACGCTGTTTTAAAATTTAAAGTATTCCGTCGCCATATCACAGTTCACATTTAATGAAATTGAAACCAGCGCGGTTTTTAACACCATCATCAGTATTTTTCAGAATATTTGCAGGTGAGTACCCATACAGAATTATGATTTTGGCAATATTGTTAACAATAATAAATGTACAAAATTGTTTTATCTTTTAAACACATTAGATCTTTCAATCACAAAGTGAACCTAAGGCTATTGGAGTGCCCACGGACATTTTACAACAAACTGATGCCAATACAAGGAGCGTTCACAAAATGGAAATGTGCTGGATAAATGCAATACATTATCAGTATTATCATCAGCCAAAATTAAGACTCAATCTGTCCCGAAGAAAGGGAAGCATTTAACCCATTCCTGTATAATATATTCTTGTAAATATCCCTGTACACATTTCACTACTTTAACAAGACTGTACCATTGCAAAGTGCCCAGTCATTTGCTACACTGAGGATTTCCTGTAGCCTTTTGTCAGACAAGTCCACATCTTTGATCGACGTCGCCATGTCTGCCGCAGTCAGCTGCACCTGGATGTGTCTGAGGAGGGAAACGAAAAGCTTTTTAAATAATACGCCATGTAGAAAATTCTAAGTTTCTGGATGTAAATTAACAGGCTTTTTACATACCTCCATCTGCAGAACTATACGATGAACACCAGGCTGACTTTGAACAATTCTGGCATAAACCTTTCCAAACATGATCAATAATAGCAATTTTAGATCTAAATCTATTTGAAACACGATAGAAATAAAGAAAAAAATCTACAGAAAAAAAGAGAAATGAAAAAAAAAAAAAGATAAAAAACCACTAAAAATGAACATTAAACAACCAGCATTGTGCCAGAATAACGAATATACAGCTCTTCAGTGGCCATTAAAAATGGGTGAGGAAAACATTGAATTATAAACAACTGTCCTTTCTGCTGTATAAAGTTTTAGTGATGACAAGGTGTACATGTAAAACAAGGTATGGGTCGTCTATTTGGAAGCAACGCAAAGAAGGTTATTTTGACATCATGGAGGCTTGAAAAGAAGAGCTGTGGGCCTATACAGCCTGTCTTTTATCACACTTAGATTTTACGAGAGGAAATTTTTTAAGTCACAACATAACACATCAATAGGACTTCAGGCATGCTGAGTACAGAAACAGTGGGGTCTAATGTGAAGTCTATTGGCCTCTACACACCTCCAGTTTGAATAATAGTTCGACTTGAACCGTCAAGTAAACCCGTCAGTTAACAGAACACGGTGTGTATCCGGACACCCACACCACCCTTTTGTCAAGGCGGAGCACAGAACAGCACACGTGACCTGAACTTATCAAATACAACAAATAAAGAAAAATATAACTGCAAATAAGCAATAAATCGAGCAGTGTACTCGTAGACTTTGTTAATGTTGACACGCTGAATTCAAAAATATAATTATTTTTATATTCAGGGTGATATTAAGGGTGATATTAATGTTTTTAAGGTGTTAAAATTTTCTTCCCGGCTGAAACAACCAAAGGGACACACCTCACTGCTGCAAGCCCCCCAAAATATGTTACATGTCATTGTCTAATGTCGAACTGAAGCCAACCAAACTGATATTGTCGCCGGCACATTTTTAACCACTCCCATACACACTTGTTTTTCTACAGGCGCCTTTAGACGTGCAGTTCATTTATCGATAAACAAACAGATTAACCGACAGCCGCTAGATCCGGGTAGTCCTTAAACTGAAAGTAAAAGTTGGTGACGAGAGAAGTTCCATTAAGAGGTACAGCTTTTCATCCTTAAAGTGTTAGTCCTTGTACTGTTGTAGCTTGGCCAAACTTCAAAGAAATGGCTGAAGCAAGTTACCTGGACAATTTGGCAGCTTCTTTTTTTCTCAAATCAAAAAAAGAAATCTAGAAAGAGGATCATCTGAGCTAAAGAATGTCTATTAAAAAGAAGTATCAACACACACACAAATTTTCAAGAGATATTACGAGCCTACCCGACGGACCTTGATAATTTGTTACGAATGGATGAGCCGGCATACCGCTATATTCTACAACTGAACAGGCCCATGATTGAGCAACAGTCTACTGTACAGTGATGAGAGAAGCAATATCTCCACATAAAGACTCACAGCAACATTGTGTTTTCTTGCTACAGTTGCTACCTATCAAGATATCAAATTCACATCTAGAGCTAGTATTTTGCACCATCCCTCGGTCCAATTTTTCCACATGACATGCTCAGCTCGATTTTGGGGCACCAAGGGATCTTTGACGAAAGCAAAAAACTGGACATTGTTAGAGAGCAGGAAAGGATCTGAAAGGATAAAATATTAGAGAAGAAAATTTTCCGTCGTTATCCGTATTCGAACTTGGGACCTATTCAACGAGAGGCGAACACCTTAACCTCTAGGCCTCGAGAGCCCCCAACTGTAGGTGTGTAGCGGGCTTATGTGGGTATGTTGTAGAAGCATAATATGTAGAAGATTGGTGCAGGAACAGTAGAGAGTATACGATATGACAACATCTAGCATGAGAAAGAAGATTGAGGTAATATTCAGGCTCTCAAATGGGTTACAACAACTCGACAAGCACATATGATCTTTGTAACAGACTCTCAGAGCACTCTGAGGAAGATTGAACGTGGGAACCTTAGAGCTGAATGGACAAAACTCCTGAAGAAGACGACACAGAAAAAGATCACGTGGATCTTCACCACAGGCCATGCTGGGGTCAAGGGCAATGAGCGGGCTGATGAGCTCGCTGGGAAAGCAAAACCTGAAGGAAAGCTGTGTCTTGACAAATCTGAAATAGTGCGTTCATTCATTGAAAAACGGGGGTAAGTGCAAGAAGAAGAAGAATCTGAATACCATCATCTTGAGCGACTTCGTGACCTTTGAATTGGATGGGGCGCCTCCAGAAGATCAAGGCTCAGTGGGAGGAGCAGAAAGCTATGGAATCAACAATTACTTGGAACCGTCAGTATCTACACGCTGCGAGATGCGCTTCTTCAGGGGACGGAGCGCTTATGGGGATGCCCCTTGTGCAGTGGTGTCGGTCCTTCACACAAGTAACAAGTAACAAGTAAGCATATAGACCTATTACATATGCGAGTAGCTGTGACAATATTTCAGCGCTAACAGTTGTCCAGTTAAAGCTAGTGGCTCACACAGTATCACAGTTCAGCATTCGCTACTTCTATTGCGGTTCACATTTTGCAGGCTCGGTACCTCACACGTTCTAAAAACCGAAAAGTGGGTGGTTGGAGGACGCCGCTGGTAGGTCCCACTTCTTCACTTTCCCCTCTGTTGTTTCTGTCTGTCTGTCTTACTTTTTTTCCAGCACTAAATGACCATTATTGTGTCGATGTGCTTTTCTTTCCTCAAACAAACGCAAACCGAAAGTAGGAAAACTAGAGTAGCTCTATTTGCACGTTAGTGGCTGAGTTTTTAGCGCACTTGAACGCTCGTAAGAATCTTTTAATGTTGGTAAAAATCAATGCATGTATTATATAATTATACATGTTTTGTTTTTAAAAACCTTTGGTCTGTAATACTCTAAGTGTAGAAAGTTAGTTTGAAAATATTTTCAGAAAACAAAAGTGTCCAAATTTAAGCTTCTCATTTGATACGACAGGTGGTAAAAATATGCTTATACTTTATCTGCAATGAAATGTCTCCGCAAAACCCTTAACATCACAAGACAAGGTTTTCTCGTAGCATGATTTATCCGTGGTCAGCTTGCTATCACCAGAGCCCCTTTAAGCCAGCAACGTTTCGGGGTGACCCGGGTCGGCCTTCACGGCTAGCGTATCGCCTCAGTGACAAAACATCACACCGCACTTCTCCAAGAACCAGCTATCACTTACTTTGTCCTGTGTCCGGGAGCATGTTCCCTAAGCTCTATGTTCCGCCAGGTCAAGTTACATGCAATGTCATGTCGTGTCATAATGCCATATCGTATAATGCCGTGTGCCATGATACATGCCATGCCATATTACATGACGTAAATATCTGTTGACTTGAGGGAATATAGAACTGGGGGAACATAGAGCTCATTCTCCTAACAAACCGCTCTATGTTCCCTCACCTCTATGTTTCCTCATTTCAAGTTAAATGATATGTTATCTCATGTCAAGTTAAATGATTTGGTCGTTTTTGAGGACAAGCGGGCTAACCCAGATTTCGAGGGTTTCCAGAAATCTTGACGAACACCAAAAGTGGGCATTGCCCTACCTATAGGAGGAGGTTTCATTGTTGTGTATATTTGTTTGGTTACAGAGAAAGCTCTCCTTGTCTTTAAATGAAACTGAACAAGGGGAAAAAACTTTACCATCGATTTTCTCAAAACAGCATTTTCGGAATAACCCCCTTGTCCTTAAAAGCGACCATATGTTCCCTCATTTCAAATTAAATGATGACAAGATGTCAACTAATGACCATTGCTTTACCACTGGTCCCTTAAACATGACATAGAATGTAACTTTCCTGAGAAAACTTAGAGTTGACCCCCTTTTTCCTCTTCTCCCAACGGGGACGAAGGGTTGAACTTTGGGAGGCAAACAAAACTAGGGTTTAGATTCAGAGTCATGAACCAAGATATTGCCCCAAACTCATAAAAATAGCAGCTTTTTATAGAATTTGAGGACATATCAATTTCATATCTTTCATCCGGTTTTTTATTTTCAAGACCGCTTGCTGACGTGAAGTGTGAAATGATAACACAACATGTCTAACAACAAAGTGTGAAATGATAACACAACATGTCTAACAACAAAGTGTGAAATGATAACACAACATGTCTAACAACAAAGTGTGAAAAACGACACAATGTGCCCGATTTACCCAGGCCACCACACATTTATGAACCGAATAATTTCAAAGACATACAATTTATGATCCCATGGAATTAATCAAGCGAAAAAAGTAATGTTTGAAAACTACATGTTCAAGAGAGAGGATTGAATGTTTTGTATACTTCTCTTTTATCTGAAGTTTTCACCAAAAAAAAGGAAAACTATTAACAAAAAATAATAAAAAGGCATCATGGCATTAGGGATTGTCAGGCAAAAGTAAGAACAAAACAAATCAAAGAAATCAAAGACAAACATACGGAGACCGTCCCAACATTTCACTCGACACCCGCTGTCACAATATAATAGAAAACATTTATCTTCTGGGTTGTTGGGTTTTTTTGGCAATCTATACAAGTCCACCGAGAACAGCTATCGACGTTCTTGAGTTTTCCTAGTTCCCTGGTCTGGAGAGTTGCTGAACTGTCTTGTGATCTATTGCCATTCTAGTCCTCAAATTTATGAAGATACGACCGTAACAACCTTGACTCGTATTTGTCAAAATGTATGTGCCGTTCGGCTACCGCAACCCAATCCCACTCTCTTGAATTGTAAGAAAGAAAATATTTAATTAAGAAGTACAGCCTGGTGAAGGCAAGAGGAGCAGCCTGCGTGACCCCATCAGACGCTACAGCAACCAACTGAAAATGGAGACAATCAGCCTACCAGGGGCGGCTCGTGGGGCCAAAAAGTGAACGTGCACAATTAAGCTATCTCATGCTGCAGATAGTCAAGGGCATAGTAATAGTAAATGAGACGCTGTATAATTTTAGTATCTTTGGGTTGGTGATGGAGTACCTCGTGCTTTTATTTTCTTTCTTTTACTTGTCGCTTTGATTTCTAAATGAGTACTAAATTTATTTGTTAGCTAAACATCAATTTCGTTCCTCCTGTATTGGAATTGAACACTCAAGTAATAGCTTTCACCACTCCACTACAAAACCATTCAAAGGCACAACTCGTAGAACGGTCACGTTAACTCCTCTCAGGTTCACGGTCACAGAGTCGCTTAAAATAGTGGCAAGACAGACAATAAACAAATCACAATTCACTTGAGCACTCCGCTGGATTGCTCCGGGGCTCACATAATATTGACAAAGAATAGCGTACGGTCTATTGTGGGTTTTCTTTTGACTGCCTACTGTGGGCAATGTTTCGGCACTATTCGGCAGGAGCACATTTGAGATGTGCCGTCTTATTAATATTAATGTACCGCCAAACTCGCTACGAGTGTCGTCATCGCTTGGGTTATCCCCAAGAGCGATTAATAGGTCAGGTTACACTGTTGATCCTATTATGTTTAGCTAAAGAGCGTGGACTTTGGCATGGCATAGTAAATGTTTTACGGCGCTATAGACATATAAATGACAATTATGGCGCCAGTGAGGACCTTGTTTTGATATAATATTTGGCTAGTGTTTGTTTCTGGCTTCTTTTATTTTATTATTGTGAGTGTTTCATGTAATAGAACAACACACAAAATTGGGGCGGCACTGCGCGACCGTGCTCTATGGACGAACCGCGCTTGCAGCCTACCCACACTGAAATTGACCCATTTGAAGAGGGGCGAGGAAGCATGGAGCACCCATTCTTCTTAAGACCACAGTTTTACGTTCAAGTAATTCGAGTAAAAAAGACAATAATCCGACCCCAACACTCTACCCCAATACAACGCGTGGTCGCTTTTAAGCACAATGGGGCTATCTCGAAACTTGCAGTTTTGAGAAAATCGAAGGTAAAGTTTTTGCACCTTGTTCAGTTTCTTTAAAATACAAGGAGAATTTTGTCTATAACCAAACAAATATGCATACCAATGAAACCAAACTTCTCTTATAGGTACGGCAATGCCCACTGTTGGTGTAGGTCAAGATATCTGGAACTCCCGAAATCTGAGTTAGCCCGCTTGTAATTAAAAACGACCCAGTTGTTTAACGTAATTGTCCCCTGTGCACAGAGCTTGAGGTGGGCAAAATAATCCTCAAAAAGACATTATCCGAATTCAGACTCTATAACTCTTTTTCCTGACCCAATTGCGAAGTGGGTCCACCCATTATTCGAAGTGGTGCTACTGCTAACCCGTTAGTCAAAGTGGTTCTAACCCATTTGCCGAACATATTATTATTTACGGATTTTGCCAGTCGACTCATTGCCCAGCCCTACTCAGAGCCCCTTCACTCTCTCAGTGACACTTCACCACGTCTAAAAACATGAAATCTCCAAAGCCAGGATTAGATCTTAAGAAAGAAAGAAAGCATTGGTTTAACGAGGCGTTAAAAATTTCCCTGCTTTTGCGCCGTGGGAGACGGCTCAGGACACTGAGAGAATCTAAAAAAATTGTTTTTAAAGAACGGATCATTGAAATTTGAAACTACATGTTTCGACTCGCTCCACAACGTATTGATAATACATTTTAATAAATAGCATTTGCATAGCACATACCCCGCCCCACAGCAAGCTATATGCGTTCTACACTACATTATTACTACCCCAGCAGACCATAGAACACTCAGAAATATTCTCAGCTGTGGTAATAATAATAGAGTGTAAAGCGCATAGAGCCTGCTGTTGAGCGGGGATATGCGCTATACAAATGCTATCTATCTATTATTATTACTAGAGGGCTCCTCATTCATGAAGTAGGTTCAATGAAATATTTCATCCACAGCAATCCGACATAAACGCTTGAGTATGGGAGACAATGACCTAAAAATGTGTAACGATAAAAGATATGAATAGGACAACAGAAAAGCCGCTTTAAATAAGGAAAAAACAAAGCTATCAAGGAGGGTTTTTTCTTTTTCGAAATAAGAGAAAGTTGCGTTTCTTTGTACGCCTTAGGAAACATTTATTGATTTTTATTTATAATCAACAAATATGTGAATAAAGTCTAAACAAAACCATAGTATAATTTAAATATCGGCCCATCGACTATATAAACAAATGAAGTTATGTTATAGATGTGTACGAAAAGTAAGGTGATCTCAACCCACTTCACTTTACCTCATTCAAATTCATGAAATGAAAAGAAATAGCGGTTAACATAATTATACGATGAATTAAATTATATGTCATGAGAATGATGATCTGACCAGAAAGCTATCAAATAACGTCACACTAAAAAGTATGGAAACGAAATATGACAGGACAATAGACACATCGAATATTGATTGGTTAAGGGAAGTAACGAATATTGACTAAAAATTCTGAGCCGATATGAAGTATTTAGAGCATAGTAAGATTATATTACCCAGAAAGTGGTCTCGAATAATGACTTGATTTAATTAAACGGAATCGAATAATCACAAAGCCAGGGAGACTCGAATAGTAGCGGGGTTATGGAGCTATCTAATACTAATTAGACGAGGGAGGTATCGAATATTTACAGTGCCAGCCGAATTATCAAATATTAATTCTAATGAAGTATCGAATAAGACCAAAAGATGTATAGAATAATGGTAATAATAGAGAAATGATTGTGGTACAGAAAATATGCTACAAAGGGTATCAAATTTTCACGGAGATCTGAGTTCGATCACAGATTGGCAAGAAATTTTAATGGAGTATCTCGGTCTCTCTGCTGGGATGTCATATTCCTCTCAGCCTTAACAGGCAGGGTAGAAAGCCCGCCTCCTAAATGGTTTGAAGTTTGTGAAATAGGCTGTTAAACAAAAGACATTTCCACAAGCCCTTGTCGGGGGCTCCCGTGGTCTTGAGTTTACGGTGTTCGCCTGTCATTCGATAGATCTCTGGTTCGAAACCTGACGGAAAATTTTCATCTCTAAAATGTTCTCCTTTCTCCTGCTCTCTGTCCATGTTTCGCTGCCTGCTTTCGTCTCCATTTTCTCTCCCCCCCCCCACCCCTTTGCCCATCCTCCCTGCTCCTGCCTCTGCTAATCCTTAGCTCTTTCTTTGTGCTTGTCTTTCAGCTACACCCCTGATTTTAGTTCAGGTAAGACTTAACACCTAGCCTTCTCGGATAATGGCGAAAAATCTTGGAGCTTCCTTAGGCAAGTTGAAGATCATTTCGTGGTCCAAAATCGATAAGAGTAGGCCTCGGCCACTACCGGTCAAAATTCAATATTAATTCCTGCCAAATTATTACTATAACAATAAGCAAACATTATGTTGAACTTTTAAGTTCCGTGTCAACGATTTATTCATGATCATATTCAGCAAAATAAAATTCAATATGCAGTCAAACCTGCCTTTTCTCTCACGTGCCCTTGGGGCTTTTTTATTCCACGACACTCTTGCATTTCCCCCCTATATCTTTTACCTATCCACAGCTGCCTCTCTCCAACATTGTCATTGTCAGCCCTTTTTATGACAAATTACCCCATCCCCCCTCCCCCCTCCCCCCCACCAATCGTCTCTTACTGCTAAAGTTTTGTTGTTTTTTGGATCAGACTGAGTGTATACATTCAATCAATGCAAAGAAGCTCGTCTGATCCCTGACCATTTTTCTGGAAATGAAATGGAAAAATGCGATTGAGATTTCAGATTTCAAATTTGAAACCATCTGTTAACTCTGTCAAGTCCAGTAAGTGACCATGACCCAGAGCCTGTTCATAGTAGCCTTCAGTCTGTAACTTTCACTTTTCTCTGTGACCCCGAGTAAACCGTCAGGGACAGGTTCAGCTGCAAAAATAATTAATCTCCACAATAACAAGTAGTATGTAATAAAGTATCAACAAAGAAAAACAAACAACAACAACTGAATGTTATGAATCCAATGTACCCTCATTCAGTCTATAATACATCGTATCACAATCGCGTTTCGTAGCAGGTATAAAAATATTTCAGTTCAGGATATAAGTAGTTTTTAAAGTACAAACAGACAGTTAAAATAAACAACTTCTGTTCCGTAAACATTTACATTTGTAGACATTTTTTTCAGATGACCTAATTATCTAGTCGACCTAATTATCTAGATGACCTAATTATCTAGTCGACCTAATTATCTAGATGACCTAATTATCTAGTCGACCAATTTCCTAGATGATCAGGGGAATGTCAAAACCTGCGAAGCCGGCACAAATGGATGCCTCATTTGTGCCGTGGATCTTGGTCTTCAGCATGTGACCACATGCAACGTTCACGACCTCCGAGTCAGCACATCTGTAGAATAGCAAAGGAAATCCTTCGTATGGTTCTTGACAGACTTCTTTTTCTCCTTCTCCTCCTGCTCCTCCTTCTCCTCCTCCTCCTCCTTCTCCTCCTGTTCCTCCTGCTCTTGCTCTTCCTCCTCCTCCTCCTCCTCCTCCTCCTCCACCTCCTCCTCCTCCCCCTCTTCCTCTATCTCCTCCTCCTCCTCCTCCTCCTCCTGCTCCTCCTCCTCCTCCTCCTCCTCCCGCTCTTGCTCCTCCTCCTCCTCCTCCTCCTCCTCCTCCTCCTCCTCCTCCTCCTCCTCCTCCTCCTCCTTCTCCTCCTCTTCATCTCTTTAAATATTACTCATTTCCTGACTACCTGACTGTAATTATTACGAATGTATATCAATTTTGGAAAAGACTACTTCGAACCCGCCTACCAAGGCCAACTTGAGCTGATCGCAACATAATAATAATATATTATGTGACCACACAAATAGGGACAATCGAAAGAAAATTACCTCCCCATGAAGGAGTCACAGATGGAGGTATTCTAAAGAAAACAAAACTTCTTCCTTCAGGAATTACAGATATAGGTATCTGAAAGACAATAACTTTCTCATGTGGGAATTAAGATGAAACGTTCTGTGTACAGTGGCAAAAAGTCTCACAACCATTACACCACATAATAATATTATGTCAGCCACTATCTGGGTATTCTTTTAAAAATGTTATTTAGTAGAGTGTTTTACAGCGCTCGCAACTGCATAAGGTCATATGAGCACCAAGGGGTTGGTGTCAACAGATAAGTCCTTACAGGGAATCAGACTTACTCTGCTCACCTCTCTAGCTTCAACATCACAACGTCTGCTTCGACTATCAAGGCACCCTGGAAATAGCGGGTCACAAGAGAGTGACAAACATGCAAAAGAAGTAGAGGAAAATGACAATAGTAAGGATTAGGAAAGAAAAAGCAGCAGTTCCCTGCTGCAGATCAGGCACAGTTATGAGCGTGACATGATGAATCAGCCCATTTACAATTCTACTGTGCTTGAACGAGAAATGTCCCCCCCCCCCCCCCTTTTAGGAATGGCCTAAGGACACTACAGTCAGTGGTACTGCCCCGAGGGGTATCTGGGTATTCGACTGTGAAAAGAAAAAAACCCTATAAAACTATGTAATTTTTACCCAATGTATACTCCATATACGCCCAGCTCACTGACGACATCTGACAAAACTAAAGGGACTCCAGGCTTGACAAGATAGTTCTTCTGTTGCAATGGGAATATTTTCTGCATCAGAATGTACGCACTCCGCTCTTTGGAGCGATTGTACTCCTTGAAGAAATTGGTGATGTCCTCATTGTACAAGTTGTTACCTGAGGAAAGATACAGTGATGCACAGCCAGCTGCAGCAGAAATACCAAATTTACCTGATTTTCTCAGTGACAATTAATTGTACATTTTAATTTCATTGATTTACCGCCGTTAAGGTATGCCGGTTGACACAAGAAAATCTTGAGCACTATGAGGTGCATTAGGTCGTTTTCAAAATCGATCAAAATTATACCTCCTAAACATTGAAACTCTGGCGCTCATATGACCTTATGCAGTTGCGAGCGCCGTAAAACCTCTATTGCGAGAGTCGTAAAACCTCTACTAAAACAAAACAAAACATTGAAACTACCGTCCACATATATCATATAGGAGAAACAAGAGAAAGATAATCAAAGAACTGCTCACCTCCACCTTCACGTTGGGGTTTCAAGACAAATTTCTCTGGAGACTGCAGGGCGAGCTTCACGGCAGCATCCCCTTCTTGGTTCTGAAAACACAATCCAGATAACATTTCCCTTAATAAGGTCAGTTACTGAATTACTTGGCTGGAGAATGGATATCATTGTATGTGGTCCAATGCCATAGCTTCTTCCCCCTCTCTCCAGTTCCAAGAAAGGTTTGGCTAGAAGCCATCTTGTTTGGGCGCTCACTAGTGGGTTGATAAAATTTCCTGGTTTCACCAGAAAAAAGGGATGCACCGAATCTGCAAAATGTTAGCCGCGATATAGCAAGGGGACGCTGTATTTCTTTGTACTTTAGTAAGATAATTATTATTAGGTGGACCTTATGTACACCTAAACAGGTTTCAGTGTATAATTATGTGTGGTACATGCAGTGGCGGGGCGCCATTGATGCAATTGGTGCAAGCGCTCCACCCAACCTTGCCCTTCAGCCTCCCCCCTCCGCCCCCCCCCCTTTTTTCTAATTGTTTTAAATCAGTCAGTGCTTTAGATCTACATTACTAGGCTACATCCTTGCGATCCGTCACCGGCTGGCTGCGACAGTGATGTGGCAGACTGCGAGGATGGTTATACTCGTCGCACCGCTTGCGGTAGTGTCTGCTAGGAGCAAGCAAAATCTTTGCACTAAAGTTATTTTTGTCACTGTAGAGAAATTTAGGCATCGTTCTTCTCGCACAAGAAGAAAGGTGCATGAAACGGTTCTTTGCAGCACCAATTTGGTGCAAGCTAAAAATTTGATCCAAGTTCCGCTAGCCTATCCAGCCTACTACTCTAGAGTCTACGGTAACTCAATGAAGAATGGGTATCGAAACTGTTGTCTCCCTTTATTGTATAACAAGTTCTGGTGCTGCACGAAGTAATTACAAATAAAGAAAACTTTAAATCTTTTCAGATTGTGAGCATAGTGAGTTGTTAGTATTGTTTCACTTTATGGCAACTTGTATGCGGTTTCATCTGGAAACAGTTGTAAATGTTGATAGATGTAGATTACGGGATATCCTGCAGATTCTAATCGACTTTCTCCAAAAAACTTAATAGTTGTTTAGTGGCTACTAAGCCTATTGCCCATTTGCTCACTTTCCAATTATGCACCACCTTGTCTGCAACCCACACGACACCACTGGGTACATGTATATCGTGATGAAATCAGGCTCTGTTCAAAAGAGAAAAATCGAAGCAGCAGGTATTTTTTCGCCGGTTTGGCAATTTTCAGTCGATTTTGTTTTGTTTCTTGGCTCAGCACTTTTAATGTCCAATCAAAAACACATTTCTGTAAAGATTTGACTGAAACTCATTGGTTAAAGTTAAGAAAAAATGAAAATTTTAACGTTCAGTGGACGCTATGGAAGTGACCAAACTTTGGCAGTCATTTACTTCCATAGCTTGTAAAGCGAATGAAACTTGTTATCAAGCAGTGATATGCGCTATAGAAATGCTATTTATTATAACAATTATTCCAAAAAACTCAAATACGCAACATACAAACTATATTTCATTATCGTTATTATAAAGAATTATATGGGCTAGACAGATGCTTTTTATTATTACCATTGTTATAAATAGATAATATTGTGCATTATACAAGTCCTCTATTTATCATGATGATTATTACAAACAAGTCTAAAAGTAAAATGGCTAATGAAAAATGTACCAGATCCAGACTGTACTGGTCAGCAAAGGTGTCCCTTATTGTGTTGACCACCTGTGGGTCAGAGACAAAACGTTCCAGAGCCCCGGGCCGAGTCAGCTCTTGTTGGATTTTCTTGGCCCCGGTCAGCTGAAGTTGTACAGAGGGACATTTGATGGCACGAGACAGTTCACATTTCAGCCTGGCGTCCCATTCCTGGGAAAGACAAAAAGGGAACATTATATTATCTAATGTTTTAGTACGGTTTTACGGCACTCGCAACTGCATTAGGTCATATGAGCGAGCGCCAAGGGGTGGATGTCAATAGAGAAGTCCAAAAGGGGAATCAGGCTTACTCTGCTCACCTCTCTAGCCTCAATAGCACAAAGTTTGCTTCGACTATCAAGGCACCCCGGAAATAGCAGTTCACGAGAGAGTGACAAACATATAAAAGAAGTAGAGGGAAAAATGACGATAGCAAGGACGAGCAAAGAAAAAACAGCAGTTCCCCGAATGTTGTTCCACCACAGTATGAGCATGACATTGATAAATCAGCTCATTTACATTTCTACTGTGCCTAAGAACATGTTAATATCCCCCCTTTGGGAATGGCCTAAAACAACGTCAGTCAGTAGCACTGCCCAGATGGGGGCTATATCATCTAAGGAAGACAGTAAAAATGGTGTGAGATCTGAATAAAATAAGATAAAATTCCAGGGGGGAAATTTTGTTATAATAGCGCAGGCAGGCAGCCAGATTACCGACGTCATCTTCTCAATGAGCGACAACAACCCCCCCCCCCCCCCCTCCCCAAACTACCCAAACTATAACTGTAACAAATATTGATCAAAATGGACTGTTGACCCTAGAAATGATTATCAATAATAGAGACAAATGATGAAACACTCTTAGTAAGGCTGTTTAAGAGGGGGGGGGGGGGGCTCCGAGTTTAACGCCCATCTCCGAAAGGACCGCGCCAAGTGGGAAATTTGTGCAAAGTGCCTTCCCCCAGGACACTACGTCGGACCGAGCTGAGGCTCGAACCCCCGAACACTCAATCTCACGATTACGAGTCCGGTAGCGTAACCACCAGGCTACCGACGCCACAATAGTAGAGACAAAACTAGCAAGAAATATGTATAGATATAGAGTGTGCATAAGAAGAATTGTGAGAAGTAAAAATAAGAACAAATGATAAAAGAGAACAAGTGGGTGGTTGGCGGGTGCTCTGGTGGGGTTTGCTCCTTCTTTCCTATCTAACATCTATCTTCCTTTTCTCCCCTTCTTCTTTGTTATGTTTGTTACTCTCTTGTAACACCTCTAATCTTCTGGCGCTCATATGACCTTATGCAGTTGCGAGCGCCGTAAAACCTCTACTAAAACTAAACTAAAAGAGAACACCACGTGAAATGGAGATGCATATATCTAGGTGACTTTCGGTTGGCCCTGTGGAGTAGCCAGCTGAAAATAAAGAGCTAAAACACCATAGCATGTAGGTATCTTTGATAAATTCAGGAATAAAAACACAAATTATTTAGAATAAGATCCTGCTTTACCTTTTGAGAAGTGTAGTTTTCTGCTGTGTATCCATCCCTCAAGTATATTACTGCTACTTCATCACCATCTCTGATAATAAATGAAACCATTATATTATTATTACCTTGAACGTTCAATTTGGTACAAATAAAGCCTGCAAAAATATTTCATAATAACACAATAATCTAACAAAATAATGTGTGGCCAATGCGCATATACCAAACAGTAAGATTAAAGCAGCACTCAAGATTGAATCATCCCATATCATTCCATAATTTTGATGAAAGCAAACATCATATTATTTTAAAATGAAAAAGTAATACTTATTCTGAAAGGGGTATCTGAGGGTTTTGAACTCATGGGTTTTTCATAAGGGAAGAAACAAAATTTCATGGTATTCAACATTTAATATAGTTGGTGAATATCCCAGCAATAAAACAATAATATATAATGTATCAACAGTGCAATGAATTTCTTTTTGGACAGCCGTGCACCACTAAAAAGCAATGGATATAAAATATAAAGCTGCTTAAGTTAAATTAAAAACTGATACACAATTTCTACCCACATGATGAGTCTGCTCTTGTCATCCAAATGGCCTTGGTTATAAATGTCCAAGAATGTCTTGCGTAGAATCCGAATGTTAGGGTTCCTGTCATAGACTTTGATCTCCAGAAATCGCTGATCAACGACATTAAGCTCCGAGGCACTCACGACGAATATGATCACAGCCCTATGGAGTAACAATAGTCACAAAATTTCTTTTTCACCTAACTATGGGTGGAATAATTCTAAATTGTAAGCCTGAACAAATGAAGACAAAACTAAATTTAAAAATCACTCGAAAAATATAACTTTGGGTAAATTAGTTGTTAATTGTCACCCAGAGCGAATAAAGACTGAAATATTGTCAATTCAAATAAAGAGACAGCGAGAATTCAATCAGATATCTACTTTTTATCAAAAAACATTTATATTCTTCATCTCCAAAAGATTTGATTAAAAGATGTGATTATTTGCTGTTGTCTTTCTTAAAACTGACTCTCAAAACAAAACCAAATGACGTTCAAGATCACGTTGACAAATTTCCCCACTCAGAATTTAAACAAAGAAATGGAAACTTTGTGCAAAAAATCAACACAGTGCAAATCATCTGGACTTGGGCAAAGGTTCAAAATTCTAAGTATGTGACAAAACTTTGGGCCTAGGAAAATTCAACGTTTCAATCTCAACCTGATCCAAAATGTTACTGAATCACAAGCTGAACTTTGCAAGTTTGCAAGCATCAAATGTCTCGCTCTCTATCAAAGTTCAAAAGGCTATCTAAATAACTAAACTGTGTGCCTGAAATTACGAATGTCTCACTCTCTATCTGGGTTCAAAATGTTCTCGAAATTACTCAACTGTGGACCTGATAATATCAATGTTTCGCTGTGTATTTGGGTTCAATATTCATGCTCTTTAAATTACCAAACTATGGCCCTGAAAGCATCCATATCTGAATCTCAATGTCCAACAGTTCAAAAACGCTAAAGAGATTATCAAACCATTGTCTTGCAGGCATTAATTAATGTATAATCGTTCAATAGATCAAAACGCAAACTAGAGGGCCAAACTATAGGCTTGTAGACATAAAAAATGTCACTCTGTACCTGGGATTTCCGTAGAGTTCCCACGCTTTAACCAAGCCGTCAGCAAATCTTACAACAGGGTTGTTGTCAGGAAGCTGCAGTGAAAAACAGTTTATAGTACAGTTAAGTTTGTACTTGAGTTAATTTTACCCTCCCCCAAAAAAAATCAATGGGAAAAAATCACAGAACACTTTCCTTCACAACAGGACCACAAATCCCCTTTACATTCAGCAAGCAGTGAGCCAGTGTTTCTGCATACATTTTAAAGTTCCCTTTATCTTTATCCCCTACTAATATATGCCAAGGTACTGTTCTTGAAGTGGGTACCCCCCTTTTTAGACGCCCTGTACGTTCATATTTACCAGATTATCCTTCAGAATATAAAATTCCTCAGTAGGGGAAACCCCGTATTAAAATAGAATAGAACATTTCTAAAATAATTGTACAAAAATGAAAAGGACTAACCTGTTCTGGTTTAAAGTCTTTCCCTGCCATTCTAAGAGTCAGTCTGTAAAAAAAAAACTCTTAATGATAAATACTGTTTTGCTTTCATTAATTATATAAAAACCCTACCTTCCTTTGAATAGAAAACACATTTATACCGAACTGACTTTTTTTTAAATTTCACACTAATTTTTCCACCTTCGAATTGTGAATTAATAGCTTTGTAAGAGTCACGAATACTATTATTAAACATGTTCTCAGTTCATGCTATGAATTTGAAGTACATATCTTGAAAAAAAAACCCGAACAACTTTATTTACCGAATAAAAGTCAGGGGAACAGTACTGCAGCACAATAAAACGCGACTCGACTCAGTCCGGTCATAACCTTTCTCGATTTTAAATAAATGATAATTATTATATTATTGTGATAGTCATGACACTGATTATCTCAATCAAACGCCCTTATGAGGTATAGCGATACTGCATTTCACTATTGCACGTCGACAACATGATTTTTCCCTTTTTCTTATCCCTTACCCATTTATATGAGACTAGCTGGGCCCCCTTTCGATGAAAGAAATGATCGGTGCATTATCATCAACTGAAAGTCATTGGTCTACTATATTTACACTCTACTGGAATGGAGCAATAAATCATGAGAGATGCAACAAATTAGAAGTTCTAGATCTATACTCTCAAAACAAAATTATGCGCCTCGCGAAATATCACTTCCGGCACTTCCGCCGTGAAGGACAGCTACGCAGATTTGTTTCATTTCCCAGTTAAATAATCACAAAGGCCAAAGAAGGACAGAAACTTTTTTGTCAAATATGTTTTTCTTAATTCAGGAAATGAATAAATCAAAAATCGGGCTCCATCATAGGGGCCTATCTATCTTTTTACAGGTACGTGCCAACTTTCAACTCTGTAGCTGTTGTAGTTTTATGGGAAAGGTGAAATAATATGTGTTTCCAAGTTGTCAAAAATATAATAGATTGACGCCTTCTGATTAGTAGAAAAAAGTGTGTATGACAATGTTCAATAGTGTATTACGTGTATACTTAGTATGGCTAGTAACTGTTACAGATAGAGATTACATGACTATAGATGTAAGTCATTGATCTGAGAGCAACGGTGATTTTATAAATAATGGTGGTGATGAGGGATGATGTGGGATTGCGTTTAGGTAATGTTAGCCTTAGTCCTATCTTCTTCTGCTCCAACATGAGTTACATTCCTTTGTGGAGAAGCTTTGTTGTTTGTTTGTTTTTAAATAGAGTATCTCTGTCCGTCTGCTGGGACATTGTATCCCTCTCAGCACCAGTTGGCCTTTACAAGCAGGGTCAAATCAGAACACCATTTAAATAATGTAAAAATTGTTAAAAACTGTATTAAAATATCTGCACTTACAATTATCAACCTGCATCATGATCATTTTGGGTGTCAAATGTCTACACACAGAACTTGAACTTTCAAAAGACTATAAAACACTGAGGGTCTCCTTCCTTCATAAGCAAAATAATCACATTTAAAGAAAATTAGATTTCAAATGTCATACTTCAGCTATGTATGCAGATACTGGACATTAGTATGTTAAGTTAATTGCAATGATTTTCTATTAGGTTCTTATTATATGAATGTGCAAAAGTGAATATTATGAGATTGTCTCTGTATTCATGTGTGAATGTAAAGGTAGGTAGGGAGAGAGAGAGGGGGGGGGTGAGAAAAAAAGAGAGAAAGAGAGAGGAGACACGCACAGAGAGAGC